ACCATTGATTTCTCTCACACTGTGAACCCTGACAGACCCCTACCTACCAGGCAGCTAGGGACCTACCTTAGGCACCCAGGGCTGGTGTGGTGCCGGTCCCACACGAGGTGTCTCTTAGCCAGCCCCCATACCCAGGGTCCCCGCTTGTAGAATGATGCAACCCGCTCGACGGTGCATTCCACCTTGCGCCTGCACGTCAATGGACAGCGGGAGACGGAAAGACGAGAAAGACAGCTCTGCCCCGTGGATGGTAGGTAGGTAGCAGCTTTTAGCGCATGCACATGTTCATGGATCATGGCGGCCGGGTCTAGGGCGGCTCGAGGCCCTTCCTTACCTCACCTTACCTATTCCCTTTCCTCCCTGTTACCCCTCTGCACCCCTCGGCGGGCTGTATCAGACCGCCGGATAGATAATCTGGACGGGACCTCTCGAGCTCCGGCCGAAGCGTTGCCTTGGACCATTCCCCTTTCACTTTTCTGCTGCAACCACCGCGCCAACGCACTGCACCGCACTACGATTCCTCTATCGACCCTGCAACCTGGGCCTGTATGAAGCTCTGTCGCATGCGAATATTTCCTCCACTTTACCTACCGCTGGCGACCAGGATTGCACAATTGCACAATTGACACATCACGCCCATTTTCGCCCTGTCGAAGAACCTCCCCGTCGTTCTTGATCACACGTGGACTCGAGCGAGAGAAACCACACCTACCTTAGCTACCTAAGGGAGGACAACCAACGTCACTCAGCCTATAGCACCTGCCTTGTCGTCATCGCCGAATCCGTGCTTCCTCCCATACCTCACCTGACCATACCGGACCACAGCCTTTTCCTATCTCCACACAACAGCGATTCTAGGTCACTGCGTGGCAGAGAGATCTCCCGACAGGACACATATAACTAAGAAGAGAGCATTATACTCTGTTGTCACGGAAGCAAGAGGTAAGCTTGATGTTTGCGTGCTCCCCATGGCTGCCCCCCCGTCTTGTACTGTGCTCTCTCAAAAAAGGCGCCTACGCCCAACTACGTCAAAGTACCCCCACCTCAAAGCCCCTCATCCCGACAAGCTTGTCACCTCACCTGGACTGGACTCACACTCAACTGCGGCTTGGCCTTCAATTCATCCCACCACCACCCCGCGATTCGCAACAAAAAAGGGGAAAAAATTACCAGGACCTGAACCAGCCCCCGAGCGAAGCCCTAGCAACGGATCGCAGCCGCTGTCCCTTGTCATCTATCTCACACCCACCCTTTCCATGTCACACTGGTAGCCTCAACATCCTCGTCCTCGAACCCTGAACATCAATCGCAAAGCGCGAAAATCCTTTGCTAGTCGATCCTAATCGAACAAAAGCAGCCATCACTCATAGCACCCCGGCCCATCGAGACAAGGTAGCTAAAGCAACAACAAGAACAACCACCTAGTGGCGGTAGCCTGCGTCCAGCATATTCCCATTCATCTCGCATCACAGCGTGCGCGCGCGCGCATCCACGAGTCCACCATCCGCAA